ATGCCTAGTTCCCATCTATTAGCCCAATCCGATATGGCATCAAGCGCAGCTTGTAATAAAGAAGGCCGATCAGTACAGTAAACCTTGACGTCATCGGCGTACATCGTGCACTGAATTCCAGAGGGAAGACACTCTGGCAAGTCGTTAATGTACAGAACGAACATCAAAGGTCCCAAGCAAGAGCCTTGAGGGACACCGCTGCCAGTACGGTATATCTCAGAGCACGAACCATTAAGAACTACTCGCTGATACCTGTTAGAGAGGAACGATTTGATGAAATTAAAAAGACAGCCGGCTATACCCACATGCCTCAATTTGACAAACAAAAGATGCAGTGGCACGGTATCAAAAGCTTTGGAAAAATCTACGTAAGCAGCAAAAACTGATATCTTTTGGTCAACTGCATGCTGCCATGTAGGGATTACCGAGAGAAGCGCTGATGCAGTCGACTTCTTTGGAATGAAGCCATGCTGATGTGGCGATAAAATTCGCTTCGATAAGAGAAAATTTCTAAGTTGGTGGGTTACAATCCTTTCCATTACTTTGCTAACAGATGAAGTGAGGCAAACAGGTCTGTAGTTCTTGTAATCACACTTACTTCCTTTTTTATGTATTGGCCTCACCAGCCCCAAGCGCCAGATCGCAGGAACCTCACCTTTCAGAAGTATTCTATTGAAAAGGTATGTCAGAGCAGGAGTGACACCATCTACGGCTTTCTTGAGAAATATGTAAGGTAAGCCGTCAGGTGAGGTAGAATGTCGTAAAGGAAGTTTTTTAATAGCGCGAAAAACATTTTCGTGATTGAAATCAATCCAGTCAAGGGTGGAATCAGGTAGTGTAACATCATCTACTGGTGGCTGAGTTTCTTCCTTATAAAAAGTTTGAAAATACTCCGCAAAAACCCGAGCTTTGTCACAGTCAGATCTGCATACTGCTCCGCTGGGGGATAAAATAGTGCCTATGGATGCGGAATCCTTGAGCCTTGCATTACAATAGCTCCAGAACCTTTTCGTATTCCTAGAAGAAGCAACACGCTCTTCATGCTTAAGTTTGAGTTTAGCCAGTTTCTTTTGAAGCAGGCGTGACAAGTAGAGATAGCGCGAGCTACGTAGGTAGTTCCCATTTTTGGACAAGTGCTCCACTTTAGTCTGCAGTGCTTTGAGGTAATGGGGAAGTTTCAAGGATCCACTGGCCTTACGACGAAGAGGAATAAACTCAGAAATGAGAGAGTGGCAGAAGTCAACAAAAACGAAATAGCAATCATCAATTTTTTCAATAGTGTCGAAAACATGATGCCATTCAATTGAAAGAAGGCGGCGACATATGGATGTGTAATCTCCCTTGGCAAAATTGTAAGTAAACCTTTGGGGGAATTCCGAATTACTTTTAGACAAGGAAAAAGTCACTGTAGCGTGATCCGACGTCGAGAAAGGAGCTCGAACAGAATAGCTGCTAATGAGAGAAGGATGATTGGTGAGGACTAGATCTAAGATATTCCTATCACGCGTAGGCTCCAGCACCATTTGAGTGAAGTTGTGAGAATTAATAAAATTCAGAAAAAGAGAGCTTTGCCTACAAAGGCGCTTCGTGCTTGAACCTTGTTCCAATCGAGCCCACGGAATGTCGAAAAAGTTAAAATCTCCGAGAATGATGAGAGGTGAATGATTTTCGGACAGCTCTTCAAAGTAAAGAAGAAGGTTCTGAAAATCATCGCAAGAACATGATGGGCTTCTGTAGCAGAGAGCGAGGATACAATCAGCCACACAGAGGGATAACCTCACAACCACGCACTGGAGGTACAAAGAAAAGTTGCGCGATGATATAAGGGAGGAGGGAATATCATTCCTGATCATAGCTACTGCACCACCACCCGGAGTATCCCCATCCCTATCGCAGCGATACACATGATACGGGTAATCGGCGGACAAAGTACTATCATTAATTTTACATGATTTACACCACGTCTCAGTTATGAACAGACCAGAAGGCTTATGTGACAATAAAACATAGAGTTCAGGAAGCTTGTTATTAATAGATCGGGCATTAAAGAGGAAGAAGTTGTTCAGAAACTGATGGCTAGAGCCGGGAGCGCATTCTGGTCTGTGCAACTGAGACGCCTGGCCCTATGGGGAAGGAGTAAGATAGGCAGAGCGCGACGAGGTTGCGTCCATGGAGCCAGGCACGATCTTCGAGAAGGTCGTCGCACCTTCTTGGGAGGAAGAGGAAGAGCGGTGCGGAAGCTCTCTTGGATTTTTCAGTTTGCATATCTTGAGGTCTCGCACCACAAACTGAAGCTTTCCCAGTTCCGCATTCGATATTCCCGCCTGCTTGCGTAACGCCCGATCCAGCTCCAGTTCTTCTTCCGTGTAGTCTCGGCGCGCGTAAGAGTGGACGAAATGCCTAGTTAGGCTCTGGCGTCCCGATCTCATGTGGTGCAACAGCCTATCCCTCAGTGCCTGAGACGGCAGTTCAATCTTGATGATGCGGTCACGACTGATGTTCCTCGATCTCACTGCTGGGTAACGGCGAGCATTTATATTTCCCTTGGAGAACTCTTCCATCAACTCCTGATCCCCTGAGGTTTGGACCACCTCTTTTAAAGCCTCTGCGTCAAATTTCCTTGTCGTCAGCTCATCGCTTTGCTCTCCTATGCCCACCCACGTGATACGCCTGAGTTTTTCATCAATCTTCTCACCGTCCACTCTTGCCTTCACGATTGTGGAATAAAGCATCGTCTGATCCACTGGCCTTGATCGTTGTAGAGCAGAGACACAATTTTCCAAGGCAGCGATGCGGGAGAGAATTTCATTTTGACGAGCATCCATTTCTTCGATTTTTTCCACTAGTTTAGTGAGCGACGAAGTTAGGGCTTTTTCAAGCCTATCAGCGCAGGAGACATACTGATCCATCATCATGGAGGCCCACAGTGGGATCTCCTTCTCATTCCCTGTGTCCGATGGTTTGCGCGTTGACCCACGAGCCATATGTGATCGATGAAAAACCTTAACGGGATGCTAGGAAAAACCAGAAATAGGGGGAAAGATCCGGCAATGAAAAGGAAGCTACAAAGCTATAAGAGCAAGTCGACGCCTAAGGTGACTTATCAGAAGCTAGAGGAGAAATAAATGGTACGAAATACTACTGAAAAAAGAAGTATTTTAAAAAGTCGGACAGACGAAAAAACACGCCGCCACACGCTACGACGACGACTAATACTTTCCCAACTGCAGCCGTGCGACCTCAGCTGTTTTGGGGAGTTGGGACCGCTATGATATTCACTGTCATCTATACGACACTCGGAAAACTCCTTATCTACTCTGTTGAACACTAAAAAGCTGCCGTGTCCCACTGTTCTTCCTCAGACGCTGGGATCCAGCTTTGTGCAACAACGATCAAGATCTGCTTTGACCTTAACACAAAGTTTACGTCTTTTATCTTTTGCTGCTGTCTCAGTTTCTATTGGAAATACAAAACCCATGGACAGGTGTAATGGTCCGCCTACTATATTTCGGTCTGTTTGTCGATGGGGAGGTGGGGCTCACTTGCTGACGCAATTGCTACTAACAAAGGAGCGCGTGCTAGAGCCTGTCGTAAAGTGAAGCTCTCCAATCAACAATTGTAAGACACGTCAAGGACTGTGATGTATCCTGACAGGATCTAACCTACTTACTGCACGTACCTTCGTTTTTTTTCTTTTTTCACATATTGGTTTAATTGCTCATCACTATCTCCGACTGGAAACCTTTGTCTTCCCTACCAAATCGCTTTGATGATCCTGGATGCTATTCAATCATGAACTTTCGGTGACTGCTTGTTATACCCCCTTTCCTATAGTGTGGACAGCCTTTGCTGGCGTATAGCGTAGGGAGTGTGTTCACCATAAGACAGACACCAGCTCTTTGAATATATGTGGACCTGCGGTGTCCCCACAATTGCTTCCGACCAGGGTCAACCCTACGTTGTGACGAGTCACAACGGGGGGGTCGTACTGAATTGAGCTTGGAGGGGGGGGGTCGTAATTTTTTGGTGGCCGGCACTGAAAATTCTTGGTGATGTCCTACTGAGTATGGATAGTGGTACGAAGGAGAAGAGCAAACGCAGCAAAGAAAGTGTTTGTGAATAGTTACTAAATGCATTTATTTCAGGTTCGAATGCCACTCTTTTTCGTCATCTTAGTGAATATGGCAGACAGAACAAGTGTGAACAGAAGTGAAAGAGGATGGACATGTACAGCTTCACTGCAAATAAAGCAGAAATTGTTTATTGTCTGTTGGCTCATTGAAACAAGCACAAAGAAGAGAAACCAGCCTATTATTCTTTACTAGTAAAGCAGTTTGTTGAACGATTAAAACTTGAATGATGGTCTCAAAGGTGGAGAATACCACTTGAGAAAATGGTAGCTCTCGAAGTTTCAAGATCTTCTTTTGATTGGTGTTTCCCATCGTTCCTATCACTCAGACCGTGCAGCGTGAGAGAATGTTTAACATGCAGCCTAACAAGTGCTGGTCCATCTTCTGCAAGTGGAGTTGTTGACTGCAGAGAGAAAAAGGTACAATGTATAAATATACCTGCTCCGATGGCGTCTCTGACTCGCTTAACAAAGCTATCCGACCTCTGGTACGAAGATGGCCTGTGCCGTGGAAGGTCGAGGCCAGGAAGTGGATTCATCCACTGTTCAGCCAATATCTTGGGTTTGACTGTAAGCACACTTGGTCCATCGCGCTGAATTCTGGAATGGTCTTTTTCATTTGTGATTATGAAATAGCTCAGCTTAGAAATGCTCAAAGACCTTTTTACGTTATAGTACCGCATAGATCAAGAAACTGACGTCATGAGGTCGTTCAGAGTTATATTCCCTAGCCGATTACGCTCTGCCCTTGTAAGCATATTCGCTTGCGAAAAGCTCCGCTCTGGGTCAGCATTGCTGGCCGGGATAACGAGTATGCATTTTATGGCCTATAAATGAAAATATTATTACGCAGTCAACAGGAACATGATTATTATCTCACCTCCCTCACGTCGGATGGAATCCTCAGATCTTCGCCGTTGTCGAGCAGCGTTTTGTAGAACCTGACACTGGTTTTATCTTCTCGAAAATTGCGTGGCCACGTTTTGAGTGTTTTAACCGCTCCAGCAATGGAGTTATAAAATTCCATGAAAAACTTGTACAATCCAGGTAAGGAACAGAACCGTTCAATGGCATTGATAGATTCCAATATAAGTTTATCGCGCTTGATTTTGTCCACATTTCCTTCATCGTCAATGTAGTCAGGATACCCACGATCTTCCGCCGAGATGCTGGGCAGAACGCAGTTCTTGAAGGTGTCATAATCACCATTGCATTCGATGATGTCAAGGATTGTATGTCTGTCCAAAGCATAGTGGAAGGAAGCACTAGCTTCTGTGGGTCGAGATTCAGGCGCCATATAGCGTTGAAAACTTGTTCGCACATCTTCGTAAAATTTGTTAATACAATTAGTTTTCTGCCTCAAAGCTACGATGTCGCGATATGCTTTACCGAGTGCAACAGCTTCAAGCATGGAGGCATCAAAGATGCTCTCTGTTCGTTTTGCGGAACCGCTTTCATCCTGAATTTGTGAAGCCAGTGATTCAAAGCTTTTGATGGGACGGAACATCTGCACCTTTGTCAGTGGTCTTGTTTCTTGTATCTCATCTGTTGCCGAATGGGATGCTTTATTTCTGCGGTAGTCAGGAAACTTAGTAGGATCGTAACCGAGCAACTCCACATGGTCCTGGGGCAAAGTGTGATAGCTTTTCAGGAACTGAGTATCCACTTTGTGATATTGCTGGCTTTGAGTATTCTGTAGTAGAAGTACTCCACTGAGAGCTAGGTTTTCGTACACCTGGTTTTTTATGATTTCGCGATTGATTAGGGAATCGAAATGCCGCCAGCGCGAAACATAATCCACCAACAGGGCTTCTTCGTTTTGTAATGACTGCGAAAGTCTAGCCAAATGCGATAAAGTCGCATTCACGTGGTGAAGTATGATAAAAGTGTGTCCATCATTTAGAACAAAAGCGGCTGCTTCAGCTCGCATTTTCATTTTCGGGGAAACGGCGCTGTCTCTCGCTAATTTTTGCAAAGTTGCTATGAGAACGGGATACATGCGGAGTATCTTCGAGAGCGAGTTTTGCAGGCTTGCTGACCATCGCACGGTATGTAATTGGTCCATCCGTAGTACAGGGAATTTCATAGCCGCAGCTGTTTGGGAGTAAACGGTACGAGCTCGTGTTGCAACACCAGAGCCTAATAATTGATGCATTTCCTTCACAAGTGCATTCGTAAGGTTTAATGCCAGACCGTTCTGGTCCATTACTACAAGGTTCAGCTTGTGGGCAGCACAAACAGAAAGCAGGAAATCATTTCTCTTCAGTGTGTTCCTTGTTTCGTGTCTTATAGGTCTCTTAATTTTTTATGAACACCAGCGTGCTTGCCCTCCATTACCGAGGCTCCATCAGATGATAACGCTATCATTCGTTTCATTGCGTAAGCATAGGGTTCGTCGCTCAAACCTGGAGCCTGTGCCCAGGAGGAGATATTCTGTAATTGGGTAGTAAATGCGGTAATGATGTCGTCCGCTTTCTCACTTTCTAACGTAACCAAGGCGAGATGGAATGTTATGGGGCGGTTTTGAGGAGAAACCGTTCGAACAAGGTACACAATCCATTTTTCTCCATCATGCGATGTCCCATCCACAAGTAGTGAGAATGGCAGCTTTGAGTCTATCACATACTTGAGCATGTCGTATTTCATGTGACGTGCAAATGTTGCCCACATCTGGCGCTGCTCTGGAAGCTGCAGTGGGCAGACGTCGCACTTGCTCCAGCTCGAGTTGCCGCATGACAACAATGGCACTGCTTGGAAGTGCCATTCCCTCCTTCGCTATGGTATATGCAGCTAGCGCCGCAGATGCCGTCGATTCCAAGTCTGCGGCGGCGTTCGACCTCTCTTGATGCAAAGCGTTTGTGAATTCGCGGTGCCGGTCTTGATGGAATTTTGAAAGTTCGTGTCTTCTTATGGCGATAACCATATTAGTAACAGCTCTTCTATGTGACATACGTCCGGAAAACGTGTTTATGCACATAATCTCATTTTCGCCGGTAAAATTCCTTGCCTAGAAGTTGTCGGTGTTCGCTGGTCAGCAACAGCTTCTCGTGTCACGGCCGGCCTTATCGTCAACATCGGTGTCACTGTTGCATAGCGAGCAACGCATGAAGTCGCCACTAGGTTTGCTGGAATCTCTGTAATATGAAAGCCATGGGATGCTTGTCAGTTCCATTATTTGCTTTGCTGTCAGCTTACTGCCGTCCAAGGAAAGGTGATGAAGGCGTCCCATCATGCTTTTCTTGTCTCTTTCAGATCTGTACATGCCGTACATTCTTTGAGTTTCTTCAGTAGCCAATTGGCGTGCTTCCTGAAGGGACATGCTCTCTCTCCTCAGCGCTTCTCGTGCAAAGCGAAGCTCACCTTCCACAACAAGTAGTCTATCAGTCAAGCAGTTATTGTATTTTTCATTTCAAGAACGTGGGGACAGCAGCGAGCACTTTCCATTTCTTTCCGTGTCAATCCGGCCAACAGATTCCATTGGCTGTTCGAGATGCCAGTTATCGGGTGGCTCTTCACACAAAGTCACACTCCCAGTGTCATCATCCACCGCGTTCGGCTGAGGTGTCGTGGAAGGTGACTCAATATGCGGTAATCTACTTCGAAAATTCTCGCCGTCACAGTAGTTCGGTAGCGCAGGGGAAGGAGCTGTAAGGGCCCAAGTGAGGTTGCAGTAGGAGACAGAAGTCCGCTGAAGTTATAGCCCTAGAAAGAGGAGTGTAAAAATTCTCTTGCAATCTAATTTTTTGGCTTATAACTTTTTCATTGTGAAGGGTTTGAGAAAAAATGGGCACTCCTTGAGAAGGATGAACCACGCTGATCCAACATCCGCCGATATCTTCCGGACTACCTGAAATTAAACAAAAAAAACTCCTAAACTTTTCACATTCCCGTTCGACGGCTCCTCACCTTGAGCAGATGCGCTCCACCGTCAGCAAGGCAAAAGGGCGCCAACCAGCAAATTTGAAATCACATCGCTACTTTTTTTTGTCGACCTGTTCACATCCGTTTCTTTTGTATGAATTCAGTGTGCTCTTTTCACTTTCCGACTTTCCTATCGCGACGGCGCTTTGGTAATGCATTTTCAGCTGCTTCAAAGATATACTTTCTGTTGAGATGGGACTAAGTTCAAGCGGAGGAGGGGAAACTCCAGGGTAGGTGAACAATGATCATTTGCTCTCGAGTTCCGCCCCCTGATTTCCTTGGTCTTAGAGGGGCAACTTGCGGTTGGTTAACTTAACCATCTTCGTTGGTTAACTTTCAGGTCATGGCCGCATTGAAGGATTCGTAGTACATGTACGAATATCGGTTTGAAAGTCCATCATACTAACGGAACACTGCTTACCATCTGCTGTCGCGATATTGTAAATGTCTACCAAGCACAAACATCATTCTTGAGACTCCACGTTAACCGGACCATTGTATCACATGTTTCAATACGGCGTACATGTGTAAATGAACTCATTCTTCGTAAAAAGCTGCGCAGCTATGTCAAACTTGAAAACGTACAGAGCAACCCACTCTAAGTTTAGTAGCTTGGTCAACCAGTTTGGTGAGCTGGGGATCCATTGGAGACAGCGTTTAATCCTATTAATGTCAATTCTCAAAATCAGCAGCGAATCACTAGCTTGAGACTCATTATCCACGATAAGGGCGCATGCATAGTCGGTCGTCCGATCGTAACGATCGTTGCTGTCGGACGACTGCGACACTTACGACCGCTGCTGTCGGACGACTGCAACGACGATCGTAAGTGTCGCACTTTCGTCAATCGATACGCACCAAATACTATGCGACACTAACGATCGTTACGATCGGACCACCGCTATGCATACGCCCTAAGAATGGTATGTTTTGGTAAAAATTCAAAAAATCAAAAGGGCTGCTACGCGTTCAAAGTGCCCACGGACGTCTTTCACAAATGCTGGCGACGGGGATGCTTCCACTTGGTTCTTGGAGTGCCTTCACTAGAAACTCTTTCTGGCCTTCTGCTTTATTGCATTCACATCTTACACTTCTACTCCATCCTATTCTATCGATTGATTTGTCTCTACTCTCCTAAAATCGAACACTTTACCCGGTTGCCGTTATTGCGTACAGGAGTATTTTTCGTCTTCCTCTTCCGTCAACTCATTTGAATGGGGAAGAAGGGCACTAAGCTAGTGCCCTTTTCTCCAACCCCTCATTCAACTTCTCGCGAATGAGTTGAGGGAAGAGAAAGACGAAAGATTCCCCTGTAAAGGGGTGTGGTGCGCTGATTACGATTACGCATGACACCCGTTTTTCTTTTCTCGTTCAGATGGAACTTCCAGAATTATACAAAGATTTATTCAGTCCACCAACTATGGCGTCCAATGCCCCCGAACCTGATTTTGGTTCTAAGTTTGTTAATCAGGTCGCGGCCGGGTTTCTGGGAGAGCTCTTGCTAATCGTTATTATTGTCCTTGTGGGAATCAAAGTTTACTGTTTGGTGAGTTTTATGTGGTCCCCTTCCGCTCCTTTACCTTGGCTGCTTTTTGAGTGCGATTTTTTCAGCTCAAGTGCAAGAAAAAGTATGTGGTCGTGGAGAGACCTGCGCTAGCACTCCCGGCGGCAAATCCGGTGTAATTGGTTATCAGGAAGTGTGTTCTCCTCAAGATGAAGGAAGTCCTTCACCCACGATCAATCAAACTGAAGACGATCGAATTTTTGTATTTTTTTGTGTGTAAACTCTTTGCACGTGAAGATTTATTTTAATCGAGCGGTGTTTTTTTGACTTCATATGTTTTATGTGGTAATATTGTAAGTATTAACACGTTGCGTACCGCGTTACTAAAGAGCATGGTTTCGTCTGACTTATTGTCTTTACAATCTTTCTGAACAGTTTGCACACATCTTCAAGCGGGCAAAAAATTTATTGATAGATGACTCATTTTTGGCGAAGTTTTCATTCAACGGCGGTCCACAATGTGTTAAGGCAACTGATTCAGTTTGGCGATCTCTTAGTTTAGTAACCCCTCGGGGTACCCTTCGGGTACCTTCGAGTGCATCTCATTATTCGGAAGCTGATTTGACTTGAGTAGCAATAAATATTAAGGTCAATCTGTCTTTACACAAGTGTAACGTACAAGGGGGGGGTCGTATCAAATCAACCATGAAGGGGGGGGTCGTAAAAAATTTTCGAAGAGTCACAACGATAGGGTTGACCCTGCTGGCAATATCCGCTGCCGTTTAAAGTCAAGGTCATTGCAGATGTGACCGTTGCAACTACGACTGTATCTAGAACAATATCTTTGGACGCAAAACACTAAAATAGGGAAGCAAAAAACGTCATCATCCGATTTGGTATTGGTATAAGCCATGCATCCCTCCTCCACTCACAGTTGCAGAATCGATTGAAAGGTGTTATATGATGGGGACCTTCGAACGAAACTGTATTGTAGTAGACATAGTGTGTTGTGCTATTCCTGTAACCTAAAAAACAACTTCATTTGCCCAGCGCTTTTTCTTCACGGTTGTAAATTTCTCCGACAGGAGTCCCTAACACAGCGTCATTCTCCGCAGAAAGTATAAGGGCAGAAGGACGAGTGATAGACAGGAGGTCGTTAGCAGCCGTGCGCCTGACATGTGTGCACTCATTCTTCGGAGACCCTTCATTCTTTGTACTTAGAGCACCATCAAAATAGACCCTTTCTCAATAGAAGGTGGAGGAATGGAGCGACTGGACCTGCAAAGAAAATTTAATATCATGTTTTTTTTCGGATGTTTTCATTTTCTGCTGCGCTATACCCTATTTACCTATCTGCACCATGATACCACTTCTGTTACTGACCCCCAAGAGTACGACCCCCCATGGACCAGCCCAACAGGTACGACCCCCCTGTCGAGGATTTCCTCGACCGATATTCACCCTGTCTGTAGCCCATCAGAAAGTGCCCTATACCATCGCGCATCGTCTGGTTCCCTCACCTCAGCTGCTCGGGATCCTTCGTTCCAGGGGATACCCCAGCACTGCCGCTGCCCAATGTAGCAATCGCAGGGCCTTACCACTCTCGTACACCCCTTCCGACCTTGAACGAACCAACGCGAGTTTTGGCACTTTTGGCCACGTGGGACCACGGCGTTTTTGCGGGCGCTGCCGCCTCAGGTCGTTCAAGCAAATTTTGAGTGATAAAAACATAAATAATGATCAATACAAGGCCAGATCAATACATTGTAATGAGCACAACC